GGTGCAGCACAAACAGTGGATTAGCACAGACCGATGCACCCTTAAGCATGTCATAGAGAGCCGAGATGAGTGCCTCAGATCTCTAAGTCGGCAATTAGCTGAGCCCACAAAGCACCATTATCGGGCCAAAGCGCAGCCTCCTTATTTTGCACACTTAGAAAAACAGTGGAAACTGGAGAGGTTATTGTACACGGCGGTTTTGCGGGAAACTACTCATTCATCGTTTAGGATCCTACACAAGGATTTCATTGGGACACAGCGCAGTGCACATCACACCCGTTCGTGGTGTTCTAGCGGGAGGCGGATGAGGTCTGCCATCAGAGCTTCTGCTTCATGTCTGGTGGCACATATCATTTCATTTCAAAGCTTCTGCTCCATCCCTGATAGTACAAAACACTATACGGCAGTGGTGCACGCCTTTTCCCGTCGCCTGATGGCTGAATAAGAATGGAGATTCCGGGCCCGAGCAAATTCATTACTTTACAGATGGATGTGCGGCGCAGCATAAAAAACAAACATAATTTTGCAGACGTTTGCCATCACAAGCAGTATTTTGGAGACGTATTGTGCGAGCGCCATTTTCCGCCACTTCGCATGGAAAAGGTGCCTGTGGTGGTATCGGCGTAACCTCGAAGTGGGCCACTTACCAAGAGAGCTTCAAGCAACCGCTGTGGGAACAAATTCTGGCCGCGATGCAATGTTTGAGTTCCTGTCATCAAAATTTGTCAATGCCGTAAAATTCATTTATGTCTCAGTGGAAGAATTGACGAAAGCTGCCAATGGCCTGAGTGCTCGGTTTGTCAGGGCCATTTCTGTGAAAGGCACAAAGCGGTTTCACCGACTCTCACCCGCGAGTCGTCAAACTTATACTCGTTCGCGAGTTGTTTATAAACCACGGCGGAAGGGATGTGAAAATTCTAAAGTGTGTGTTTGACAACTGGAGGCATTCGACTTGGCTTTGTGGCCGAATAACTTCACTGCAAAAGTCGGCGATGGCTGGTCTTCAGACACAAGCTGCACAGTCCACATGGCGTTGTTTGATTTGCACGTTGTAAAACATAACAGATGTATTGCATTACATTGTTGTATTGTAACAGTTGACAGTATTGGAGTCCTAGAGACGCATCACACTGTGTGAAACAGATTCCTCGCGACCAAACTTGCATCTTGTTTTGATGTGAACATGCAGCAACCGCAAACAGTGACAGCAGACTTTGCTTCACGTTAAGTGATGACCCATTCCTAGGTCACCTCGTGAGCCTGGCCTTCCATTGACTGCTTCTGGTGCATTAGAAACATTCACAAAACACAGCGGGATAATTCTGCTAGAACTCCCCCCCCCCCCTAGGTAGGAATAATTAAACTATGTATACGATCTCCATAGTGATATCGATCCTGAACTAGAATCTAAGCATGCCTAGATTCTTGCTCGTAATCACTTACCAATCGATTGTCACTAGTCACATCCCGACGGGTATCTCCACCCAGTCCGGAGATGTCAAGAGCAAGCAAATTTGATGCTTATTACTACGTTTCCTGCTTCTAATAGCGTAAACGGTCGACTAGCGTTGACCGCATGTCGACATCTCCATTCAATTCGGAGGTATGCACAGATAGCGTCAGGAGCACCACCTATCTGCACTTTTGCGACGTTCAAAAACTTTTTATAGGCAAAACCTATGTCGAGATATTTTGTGGAAGGCTAATGGAAAGGAGCTCGTTTGACCTCCAGTAAAAAAATATCTTAGCGTGTCAATGTTCAATATATGTCACTTAAGAAAACGTCACAAGATTAAAAAATTACAATTTCAAAAATCGAAAGCTTGAGATTGCCAAAAGTTGTGTTAAATCATTGCAAGTCCATCGATGCATAGTTCTAGGGGCTTGAGTCGTTCCGCTGCACGTTATTGGCAATTGAAGAAGTGTTTGCAACATGACCTTTCAAAACTGCTCGAGGCTATTACTCGGTGACCGTTGCACGGCAAGGTCCGATATTAGCACAGTCGTCTTTCGAGCCTCAGACTGCCACCAAGACACAGTTTCAGATTTTTCGAAAAATGAGCGTGTAAAGTTCGGATCGGTTCGAATTCGGATTTTTGTCATTTTGTCCTGGAACACCCCACCAGTACAGGGGTGCAGTGTGGTCGTCATGGCGACAGCGGTTGCGACTTCAGGGAAAATGTGTAGTGCTGTTACAAAGCGTTGACAGCGTAATTTGTAGTTCAAATTTATTAGAATTGATATCTTTTCTTTTGATGACTTGGCGGTGCTGCAGTATTGCCATCCGGCGCCATTTTTAGACGAGGCTATACTAGAGCGTGTTTTTGATATATGGAGTAAATATGAGATAGTCCCTTTAAAGATATGTAATCCAATATGCTGAGATGTGCCATAATTCTTGGTTATTATCATAATATGAACACCTCGAATACGGATTGGACGGATCTGAATTGGATTCAGAATCTTAAAATTTGGACTGTCTGGTGGATCCGCGAAGTGCTCGCCTCCTTTGCACGGGGCATGTCCAGCCGACCAGGCTCACTGCGTGTCACCCAGGCGAACCCAGGGACGGTCAATCCACTCGGTGGCGTGACCGCCTTGGGCATCACGACCGGCTTTAACGACCCCGCTTAGCAATCTTCTTACCCCGACGACGCAGATCTCATTGCACGTAAACATTTACCGCCAGGCCGCATTCAGCACCCGCTCTAGAAGCGTCGATTTGTGTAAGTTATTGTTGGGGAGGGCGCTGAGCCGGCGCGGATATCAACAACGCACAAACGGGTACTTTCAAGAGAGGTTGAGCAGCGCCCGTCTCGGCGTGTTACCAGAGCGGGAACGGACGGGTGGGCAGTAGACCTGAGAGGGGCGGTCGCCGTGGTGCCGCGCGGCCTGGCGGCGTGTCACCAGAGCGGGGACGGGCGGACGGGCAGGAGACCCGAGATGGGCCGCCGCCGTGGTGCCGCGTGGTCGAGCGGCGTGTCACCAGAGCGGGGACGGGCGGGCGGGCAGAGGAGACCCGAGTTGGACCGCCGCCGTGGTGCCGCGCGGCCGAGCGGCGTGTCACCAGAGCGGGGACGGGCGGGCGGGCAGGAGACCCGAGATGGGCCGCCGCCGTGGTGCCGCGTGGTCGAGCGGCGTGTCACCAGAGCGGGGACGGGCGGGCGGGCAGGAGACCCGAGTTGGACCGCCGCCGTGGTGCCGCGCGGCCTGGCGGCGTGTCACCAGAGCGGGGACGGGCGGGCGGGCAGGAGACCCGAGATGGGCCGCCGCCGTGGTGCCGCGTGGTCGAGCGGCGTGTCACCAGAGCGGGGACGGGCGGGCGGGCAGGAGACCTGAGATGGGCCGCCGCCGTGGTGCCGCGTGGTCGAGCGGCGTGTCACCAGAGCGGGGACGGGCGGGCGGGCAGAGGATCCGAGATGGGCCGCCGCCGTGGTGCCGGGCGGCCGAGCGGCGTGTTGACTCGGCCCTGCTCGGCTAATTTCGCCGAACGTAGAGCAAATACGGCCACTGATCGATCCCGGAGCCCGCAGCAGACATTGTGTGCGCCACCAGATGACGGGACAAGACGTGGGGGAGACATATGACATGGACAATGTCGACGATGCCTGGGACTCACGGCTGGCCGTCTGGGCAGAGGTGGCGGCGGAAGCTCGATCTTTGCCGGCCATACCAAATGTTGTTCGGTTATTGGATCGTTTAGTGTAGTCAGCAAAATGACTGTTAAGGTAACATGTAAATTCCAGGTGTGGGTTTAGGCAGGTTTATGTGCTGGTATATTGAGAGGGTGTTCAGGCTGTAGTGATTAAACCCATTCGTGATATTAAGGATGTGATGCCCTTGATTTCCTTTAATAACATGATGGCTTTCAGTATGTTAACAGTACGTGCTCACTTTATGATCAGTTTCCACAGGAACAAGCCAAATCTGATTGACCATACGACTCAATACTCCGGAAATGCCTCATTTTGTAAAACGCGGGTGCATATTATGAGCGTTGCGTGCGTTCGGGCCATTCTACACACTCATGGACATCGGCGCTTATCGCTGACTGTCTACTTGAGATGTTTAAGATCGGTCAGTTTGTCCAGTACCCTCCTTCTGGGGCTGCGGTTAAGTGGACTTGGTGTTGGCTTTTAGCGCTCTTTCCTCGGTTTTGGTGTCAACACTCAACAATCGCGTCTTTTCATTGCTTCTTTGGCTCTTTTAGGATCCTTTCAGCCCGTGCTTTCCCGCTAAGAGTAAGCAAAGGAACAGGAAGAGGGACGACACACAATTCTAGCGATTTGGACCTGCTCATTCGCACTGATAGTCCTTTAGTTGTTGTCGAGCATGCAGATGATGACCCCAGCGTGTTGATTACTTCTCCTACCACTGACTTTAGCATGGGTAATGAAGTCACCTCTGTAGCTGCCACTGTCTGCTTGTTCCGCCGACATGTACGTGCCTGGCTCGTGACTCTGGGCCTGCGCCCGATGAGCGTTTCCCAAGAAACGCTTCCGACCATCGCTCGTCCTCGGACGGTCTGAGGGCCCTCTATCAACCAAACTGTCCACTTGATCATGCTCTGATTGGTCCACTTGGTTCACTTGATCTTGCTCGTCCTCGGACCGTCTGAAGTCCCTAATATCTATCAAACGATCGACCTGATTTTGCTCTGATCATCTCTCGTCTTCGGACCGTCTGAAAGCCCCTATGTCTACCAATTGATCGACTTGATCTTGCTCTGATCATCGCTTGTCCTGGCATGTCATCTCAGCAAGCCAGGACCTTGAGCCTTTTTTACCCTCTCGGTTCTTTTGTGGTAGTGAATCCAACGCACGGGATTAGCCGCGTTGGCATTGCATATTAGAAGTGTTGCCAGTTTGACATGAAGCTTGGGCAAAGCAAGCATACGCGCTGACCTGCGTTAGCGTGCTTAAATGGGAGGATACATTTGTAGGACGCAAGGCCTCAAGCCACCGCACGTCGTTTCCAGATGCATTAGATTTGCAACACCTTCATAACCACAGCTCAGCCAGTGGCGGAGTATCTGTGGGGTCCGGGTGGGGGATGGGGGAGGTAGCGGGCAAAGTGCCCACCGTCTTTTGCGGCGGCGGCAAAGCAATCTCATTTGCCCTTTCTTCCCATAATTTCTGGTGGCACCAAAGACACCATCGGACTGAGTGAAAACAACTTACTTATTGTGTTACCAAAGTAAGCGTCAAGGGCCCACACCTGATTGGAGAACCCTTTTCCAGCTCCGAACGGGGTCGTCTAGAGTTTGCTTTCGGCCGAAGGTGATTTCAAAGGGCCGATTTCAAGAAAGCGAGTCGCCGGTGTTAGTTTCGGTTACGGGAAGGGCCCATCTCCGGCCTGGACAGGGTCCATCGTAGACTTGAAAGGGTCCATATGTGATCAGGAAAGGCCCATCGTTAACTTAGAAAGGTCCTTGTTGGTCTGGACAGGGCCCATCGTCGTCCCAGAGCGGAACCCTCAGGCCTGGGAAGCATCCATCATTGACTGAGAAACAGCTCGTCTTAAATCAAGTACGGGCCGATGTCAGACTGATAAGGTGAGAATTTCAGAGTCGGAAAAGGCCCATCTCACAGTTGAGGTCCAAGAAGAGTCGATCTCTGAAATGAAAGGATCTCATAATAGGCTCGGAAAAGGCCCATCTTCAGTCCGGAAAAGATCCATCGTCGCTCATATTTGAAAAGGGTGCATCGTAAACTAAAAAGGGCTCTTTTGAAGTCAGTGCAGGGCTCATTCTAGACTGGGAAAGTGAGCATCTGAGGTCCGAAAAAAATCCATTCGATCTCTTACATTCGGGAAGGACTACATCACATCAGAAAAGTCTTGCCCTGACTTAAAAAGGCTTGGTAATGACCCATCTCATATCTACGGTGGGCCTCCTTCCATCTCATCTCAAGATAGACTAAGCCCACGATGAATCCTTTCCAGATCTGAGAGCACTATTTCTGAAGCAACGATGGGTGCCTTCCTTTCAGCTTAGAGTCAGAAACTACCCGTCATGTGTCTAGAAAGGGCATTTCATCACAGTAATTGGTCACGTAGGTTCTTGGCCTAGAAATGGACCATCTCTGGTCAGGAAATGTCCATCGTGTCCTTTGAAAGGACAGAATTATACCTGGGGGGGGGGGGGGGACCGGAATTATAGTTGGAAAGGGCCCTCAGAAATCTCGTCCAGGAGTTGGTGACATCGGGAGACGGAGGCCGAGGGTGCAGACAGGGAAGCACAGAGGGCAAGCGTTTCTCCCTTAGGTCCCAAGAAGCCCCTTGGAGCCCTAGGGATCGGCGATCATGGGCCCAACTGAGGGGTTCGAGGGGCTGTCCCCCCCCCCCTCCCCCTCCCCATCCCATAACTCGCTCCGCCGCCACTGGCCCAGCCCGCCACTGACATCACAATCAAATAAACTCACCGTAATCGCACAGGCACAATCGCAATCCACCCGTTCCGTGCGAGTGATGCGCTGTTCGAAAGCTGGAGAATGCCGCCTTTAAGCGAGCTCCACGACTCCGCGTCTGCGGGAATAATCAACGTCAAGCTTACAGCAACACTACATGCGCCAGTCAGTCAGCACCGAGCAAAACATTTTCAGATTTCAGGAGTCTTCAATACTCAACGAGGGCGCTCTTCCTAATGCGTCCACGCTGCCCTTTCAAATATGGTAGCCTGGCACGAATTCTGAGCAAGCGGCTACATCTCTAACACTCACAGGTATAAAACAAGTTGTTCGAAATAAATTCAAATATTTTGCGCGTAATCGAGCATCATGGCTTAGCTTCATTCGAGGAGTGGCAGGAACACGCCAGATCACACACCCAAAACGCACATCCCTCCTCAACGCCGAACATTTTCGGCAATCTTGCAGCTGTTCATTACCCTGTGCAAACGGGGTAATGCTTCTTTCTTGAAGGCGTTTTCGGGCGAACAAGCAAATTCAGTCTGATGGCGGTGCATCTGATACTGGCATTCAAGTCCCGGTAAACGGTTCTTTGGTTCATTAAACCGAAGCCCGCTGTCAGACCAAGACCCTCTTTAAGACCACCGAAAAAGTCAGCATCTCGCTCCACCTCTCCCGTTATACCACCACTGTCACAATTTTCTCTCCCAAAAATGGGCTTCATGATTGAGGACGACATTTTCAATGGGCTGAGCACAGAAAAGGTATGTCATTCCTGTCATCTGACAATTCCAAAGACGACCAAAGGCGTGACATGAGCCTGCTTGTCCCCACATTTGAAATATATTACCTACCTCAAACTCTCATTACTGGTCACCTTCACTGCTCGGATCAAGTTTTCATTCAGAACCCCCTGTGCGGGTACGACTGTCAACGACTTGACCACGGGAAAAATTCATGCAGACGGCATGTTTTGGGCCAAAAGTGCGGTGCAGATCACAGCTCTGACTGTACTACACCTCCAATGAATGATGCACAACACGGAAATGACGCAAGTGAAATACATTGCATGCTATTCATTTAAACCTGTACATCGTCATACATGCTACATAGAAGTCAGAGATAACGATATTGGCCACAATACGCAGAGAGCATGCTTACCATATTCATATATGCATCATGCATCAGATCAGTGTTGGACCGTGCTGTCGACCTGGTAGTCTGCTTCTGTATTTTCTCATCACATGTCCAGAATATCACAGTCACGGACTTCCATTAAAGGGAGCGGTAAATATTTTAGGATATTAAAACAATCTTCAGATATGATGAAACAAGTTCACTTATAGTTAATGGTATGCTTTTAATTAGAAAAGGCTGACTCTAGACACTGCAAATTCTCTTTCAAGGAAAAATGCTCCACGATACGGCATTATTTGATTGCGTCACTATACCTCACGCAACACTGATTGAGAGCGAATTGTCCGCCGCTATATCTGCAAATCGTGCTCACCAACAGATATGAGCGACTCGACCATCATATTTTTTCAGCCTTTATCTTTGCATGGCTTTTGAAGTAGCAGGATTTAAATGACTTTATTATGACGTCATGATTGCCAAGGTGATCTTGGCATATTGTCCGCGAGATACTTTCTTTACGGAAAGTGTACCCAAAGGTCTTCAAGATGGCTATTTCAGTTCAAAACCCCATATGAATGTGAAACACTCCCTTAAGAGGAAGCGTGTCACCGTTTGCATTTTTCTCTTGTGAGATCAGACGCGTAAGATTTGGCTAGTAATACCAGTTTTTTTTATTCCTTCTCAGTGTCCAGAGGTTCTGTTTGACGTAGCCGTTCATGTGAAGGAAATGTGATTGGACTTCCTGTTTACCACTATGAAATTATCACGTTTCACTTGCCTTGTATTTTCTAACGTGTGTGCTCTGTAATGTTTGCAACACATTAATTTGCCCAAATACATGTGTAATGTTGCTATGAAAGCTTGAAACACTATTTTGACAACAAGATAAGCAAACGTAAAGCTATTATCTCGCAAATTTAACGAAAAGTTACATTGTGGCTTGATTTTTTCCCCTTTGACGTTTACAACAGTGGCTCTTTTCGAGGCTCACTATTGCTTTGTGAATGGGAGTATCAAGTGGTCCATGGTGACGCACTGGCTTAAACTTCAGCCAGTTCACTTCTCGGTAACAGGTCCTTGCCGCCCGCTGGGTCGATCAAAAACGTTCTTTCATTCGCGTCAGTAAAAGTACCACGGCGTTTTGTCATGACGACTTTGGCCGCGACAACTGTAGCGAGGAATCGTAGTGCTGTTACTAAGCGTTGCAAGCGTAATTTGAACTCGAAAATCATTTGAATTGATGTCCTTATTACGTCTTGACCATATTGCAGCGGCACTACCTAATAGTATTATTTGACTAACTGTTCCTGAGAGTTCACAAAAAATTCCTAAAAATATGCCTCAAAGGGAGGACACACCCTTTAATACACCTCTTTCGGTGAGTGTGTCTGCATTTCACCTTACCTTTTTCCTGGTGATGAGCATCGCTGCTTGCTTCACACTAATTGTTTCCTTTTTGCGTGCAACAAACTGATGAAATAGCACAAATTCTTGGATTTTCAAATTCAAATTCAATCGCTGAAAAATGTCTCAAATTCACACACAAGGTGAACAATGTTCTACCAGGACTGAAATGGCGCAACCAAACTAAACCAAACATGACTGATTATACTGCGAAGGATGTGTGGAAGACTTCAGAGTATCATGCGGCTTTTTAATCCCGCGTGACTTACGCGCGGTTTTATCTTCATTCCATCCTTACCACAGACCGAATCATTCTTTATCGAGTGACGCAACACCCACAAAGTGTATGAATTTACCAAGCATATAAGTATATCATGCGATGCAATGCTACGAAATAAAGACCTGAGTCACTTGAAGCGCTCGCTATTTGCCCCGGGGTGGAATGGCCTTCGGCGGGTGGCAGCGGCCGCATTAAATGTGTAGGGACGTCAGAAAGCGGGACGGGTCCCGTTGCGACACATAAAGCTCTCACGGCAATGTTCTGCCGGCGAACTAGTATTCCACGATCGGATGATGGACTTAGAGCTCACGCAACAAGCACTGCTTAGCGTTGGCGCTGATCCCAGAAATCCATTCAATTAAAAGGTTCAGGCCTTATCGGTAAAATGTATATGGACGTCTCTCGTGTTATGGTTGTTACACAGCGATCCTAAGACACTTCAGAGAATAATACGGTCCCCTGAGTCTCCAAAGTCTCCACATATAGCGCAGTCTCCAGTCTGCTCTAGACCGGCGCACTTCACATGATGATTGCCGCAACCCTACCTCTGTCGAATTTTGCGTCAGAACAGGAGAGAAACGCAAGAAAAACACCGCTGGTGTTATCTTCAAGCTTGTTGGTGAGGTGTAATACTTTTATGAGCGAGGTGGCTGGGAAAAATAGCTTTTTGTCTATACGCATTTCCCAAACGTTGCACCGTCTGACAATGTGATGTCAGACACCGCCGTGGCAAGCGGTACAATCACTTATCTTTGACGTTGACCAATCAAAATGAGTGCCTTCCGTGGTTTTGAGGCTGGGACATGTCAGTACTACATGACATGTCTCTTCTGGCCACTGATGTTGAGATCTGTCCAGTACTGAGAGCTGACAGATACTGGCGTTTCTGTCTGCATTATGTGATTTACCTGCAACCGAGAGACGGGAGCGGCGAAAGTTTTTCTGAGGAACGAAAGTCAACGTTGATGAAATGGGTCAATCTTACAGTACATAGTTTTGGCGATGCAGGGAGTAATGAAATCACTGTCGAATCACCTCCGAATGCGATTCGGCATCCTTTATTAACCTCTCTAACTCCTCACCTCATTAAGCCCTGAACTGACCTAGGCCATAGTCTGCTGCTGCTGCTGGCTGCAAAAATCTGTTAGAGAGGTGAGCTGATGAGGTTGACCTAACTTGCTCTCAAAACATATTTTCTTCGCGGATTTTGGACACTTCATTTAGTATCTCGGACGTAAAAAATGAACTAAAAACGAATTTTACGTAAGTTGTTCAGTGCATTAGAGAGGAACATTAGTCACATAGAGGAGACAGTAATATTAACCTTATTCCTCGGAAAAAAAAACAGAACAATGGAGATAAAGTTAGGTTGATAGGTCGGCAATATGCCTTTCTCGAAACAATAGCAGAAGTATCCCGGTGGAACTGTGTTTTTTATCACGATGGAATCACGGTATCACGGAAGTATCATCATGTGGCAATTATATATTCTGCTATTGTCGCGAGAAAGGCATGTTGCCGAAATATCGACCTAACTATATCTCCATTTTCCTGGTTTCCCCCAGGAATAAGGACTAATACTACTGTCTTATCTATAAAAAAGAATTTCTTGACGATTCCAATTTTATGTTTGCTGCGTAGTAATGTAATCCCTTTTAATGCGATGTGAGACTGCATTTTTTTTAGAAACTCTCAATGGGGTATAATTCGCAGGAAAGAAACCCCTTGGCAATTCGATCCCTAGTGATCAACATACATAGAAGCTGTTCGCCGCTCATCGAGGGTAACCCAAATCGTAAAAGACCGGTTTACGTGGAAGGGCACGGCCTGACGCGTACGGGCGAATTTTTGGAAATTTGTGAGTATTCTGTCATTATGCACCTATGTTTAACAGTAAATCTGGTGGTTCCTTGTTCGTTTAAACTGGTACCCTTTGTCGTCATGATTTGATGGATGTGGAATCGCTGAAGACTACCGTTGGCGCTGGTCGCATTTTTCCATTCAGTTGGCAGTCGAATGCCACCACAGTCATAACTGTGCAGCAAATGCACTTGCTGCTGTTTAGGGACATGTGGCTTAAGTCTGATGATCACCCAGTGATTTTGCAGGGGGGTGGTGGCACGCCGGCCTGCTTTTCGGCAGACGTCTTGTTAGCGGCCTTATTGGCCGGAGATTTCTTTATTTGGACGCTCTGGGCTTCTTGGCTAGAAACTTGGCCTTCTCGACCTTGGTGGGCTTGGCCTTCTTGGCGCGGCCAGTGACTGGGTGGCCTTCTTCCTGTCAGACGGTTTTTGGTGGCCTTCTTGAGCGTCTTCTTGGCCTTGGCTGGGCCTGTGGGCTTCTTCTTGAGCGACTTGGCCGGCTTCTTGGCGGGCTTGCCCCTGATAGCGACCAGCACCTTGAAGGAGCTGCTGGAACCCATGACCTTGGCCCGCACAAGCGCACCGCTGGTCTCACCGGACTTTGGAACCCGCTGGATGAAAGATACCAGCTTTTCGGCGCCGACCTTGAAGTTGGCGGCGATGTACTCCTTGATGGCGGTCAGTGACGATCCGTCGCGTTCCTTGAGGCCCTTGACGGCGCCCTGCACCATCTCGCCGGTAGGCGCATGAGCAGGCTTGGCTCGAGGGACCTTGGTCTTGGCCGCCGTGGCGTGGAGGCCGCCGGCTGGTGCGGCTGACGTTTCAGCCATGGTCGAACAGAATGATATTACGGCTCAGCAGGCTATCGTTCACAACCCCCGTCACTGCAGGCGGTTTGAACGCTGCAGGACAGTAAAACCAACAATTGCTGCCACACACGTTCATTCTCGCAGAGGTATACTCGATTACACCCGTAATATGCGAACCACTGCATTCTAACCATCACATTTTTGTTCTACTCGCATGTGATTCTTTGAGCTTATAGTCGATCATGTGTTGTCATTGGAGCAAAGTTATGTCTTCTGCAGGTTTCCGCCCTCTCAGGTCATCTCCTTTCCGCTGCTCGTTCGGCCGGTGCCCCAGCGACTGGCAGGCACCGACAACAATGATGGACGCTGATGCAGTGATGTAAGATGCGCAAGTACGCTCCAACCCGCAGAGATGTGGGTTGGAGCTTATTCACTACCTCCCTGACTACCTTGCACGCGGCCTATGCAAACTTCAAATGTACGGCATCAAATGTCGGATGTACCACATTCGAGAGATAATCTGGCAAAGTGCCTCTGACCCGTTAGCCCCTTCATGGGCGTTGACTGCTCTCATTGGCTAGCAGCATGTCCGTTCAGGTCTGTGATGGAAGTTTTACATGGTCTTGATTACAGCCCCGATGTCGCTTACCTATACAGATACTATAACTACTATACAGATGACATAAACGAGGGCTGGCCATAAACTGAAGCCGTGGCCTGCTGGGCGGTATTCTGTCCAGCATTGCTTTGAATTGTAGTGACGCAATACAGAACCGTGCGTACGTGCAAGCTCCCTGCTTCTGGAACAGCGGCCTTCGAGAGTGAGCATCTTGAAATACTGTTTCGAAACGGCGTTCCAATGTTTCCAAGGTCTGCTCGCTTCAGTTATGCCGACTTGTCACATTCGAGGTGATGGTAGCTGAAAGACATGCACCACCGCTCGGATAACCGAACATCTGGTAGCAAATGCGTAACGTTGTGCAAACGTCGGCTGTAGCGCCAAGTGTTGTACGTTGTAATTCCCTGAGCACGGGAATTCCACCATGGTGGTAGGTTTGCAGTTGTACAAAATGTATGTCGCAGCATGTACATCAGTCTTGATTTCTATCCAGCACAAGGATGCGACGTGATTTACAAACGTAAATGATGACGAATAACGAAGGCGATCCCGCAAAATAAGCATGCATTGTCCCGTTGACAGAGTGACTGCGGACGCCGGCGTCTCAATGGCGCCAGCTCACTTCATCGGCTGCTGCCGTGCTGGGACGCTCCGGCTGGCGGCTCAGTGGCCATGGGCAGCGCTCCACGGCCCTGACGGACCCGCGCACGGGCGGCGCCGGTCCCGAACACAGCGCCTCCTCCGGCTGCCGACTGGCGCTGGGCGCCGGGCGCTGGCTGGGACTGGCGGCCATCACCGGCCTGGTATCATCCAACTCCAACATCCAACTCCAATATCCAACAACTCTCGGCTTCCAGCAGGGTGTGTGCACAGCGTGCCACAGGAACAGCTCGTCGTGCCTTGCTGACGAAGTCCTGTCAAGCTTAGCTCGCTGGCGCCCATCTGGATCAGTGTCGGTGAGCGTGTGCGACACTTTCTTTTGTTGTGTCTCCTACAACCATGCATGGATCAACATACAAACCAGGAACGTGCTCCGCATTTGATGATCCCACTCCTGCACGCATTGGCCATTCCCCCCAGACTACATCAGTGTAACACTAAGCGCATGTTTGCCTCACATGTGCCACGTCAATGCGCTGCAGAAGGTTGATCCGCCTTCGCACCCACCCACCTGGGCGATAAGAGCGTCCGCGACTTGTTGATCGCATAGCGGGCCCCTCTCCCGTCACACCCCACCCCCGAGGGGTCTGATAATGAGAGCTGGCAGCCCGATATTGGCCCGGAGCCGTTCTCAGCGCCAGATCGGGGAAAATCAACACAGATCATCCAGACAATCGGTCCGAATTGGCTATGGCGGCCACGGCAAGGAGGGAGGGGGAACACGGCGGACGAGCACACCGTGAGGGAGCGAGGTGAAAGATAAATAGTAGGGGAACAAGAACCACGGGCAGAGCTACAGAGAGGAAAAGGTGGGCGAAGGGAGGCCGCCGACGTTGAAGATTGGTCTGCAAGCCAAGCGTTACACTAGGCGAGGAAGTGATTTGAAAACCAGGTAACGCACGGTACCGAGTTCTGAGAAGCCGACCATGGATGCTCAGTGATCCGGTCAAGAAGCCAGTCAGCTGTTTGGCACCGATGCTGAAACGTCACAGCGGACGGGACATCGCGCGGTACTGGGTAAGGAGCCCCCACCCCCACCCACCACCCACCCCACACGCACGCACACACAGTCGGACAGACAGGCTCGTGCTGAATGTGGGACCGCGCGGGTCATTACTGTCACGGTAATTAATCCGCGGCCGGTTCGATACGCTACACTAACGAGCGCCGGCCAGGAACACCGCTAATTGTCATCAGAGTCGCACCGGAGCCGTATTAGCGTCCACCGAGCCGCCGCACTGGCTGGTCCGACGTCGGGACGGAGGCGGGCCTGGCGGTGGTAGCGCGTCGGGCGCGCCTCCTTGTCGCCGTCGGGACGGAGCCGCCGCACTGGCTGGTCCGACGTCGGGACGGAGGCGGGCCTAGCCAGCGGTAGGGTCAGCGGTAGGGCGTCAAGCGAGCCTCCCTGTCACCAGCTGTTCGGCCGCTTGGTTTGGTTTGTATTCATGGAATGCCATAAACCACACCTTCCCTTCTTGAAAGACAATTCCAGAAGCTGCGTGAAAGTTTGTTGAGACGTATGCAACCACCACGCTCAGTAGACTAAAAAGTCAGCGCAAATTCGGTGCCTTATGACTCCATTTTTCCCAATGCTTCTCAGCGATTTGTTTAATGGAATCTCCCATCTTTGTGACATATGTCAAAAAGGCACCCAGGTGAAATCTCAGAACTCGTCACGTATATAACAGCACTGGACAATAGTCGCACAGTGAGACACTTTTGTCTCACTGTGCTTTGTCTGCAGTGCCATGAAGACAAAATAAGGATATCAATTTCTATTGTTTTCGAGTCCAAATTACGCGCTCAACGTTTCGCCTGCAGCGCTACGCTTCACACTAATGCACAGAGTCAAATAGTGCCCCGAAAAGAGCCACTGTGGTAAGTGCCAAAGGGGATAAATCAAAGCTTAAGTATAACCTTGCGTTGAATTTGAGGGGTTAAAGCTTCATATTCGCTTATCTTTTGTGAAAGCAGCTTACCCAGCTTCCGTAGCATGCATCACGTAAACTTTTTGACAATTTAATTTTTTGCAAAGAGTGCAGAATACACACGTTGGTAAAAACAAGGCGAATGAAACTTAGTACTTTCATGGCGGTGAACGATATGGTAGTCATAAATAAGGGAGTCAAATGAGCTTTCTCCAAATTGTCGGCTGCTTCAACTACAAATTCTGAGCTATTCAAAAAGCTTTGAAAAAATGGCATTACTGATCACATCGTAAGCGTCTGGTGCAACAATAAATGAAAAATACAGAAATGTGGGATACCCTCTGAAATGGTTATAAGCGATTCATCAAGCGTCACGCAGTCCAGTTGCCCTTTGTATGTCAATTGTTTTGCTAAGTTGTGCCAACTGCTGCAACCCGACCTCGATCATTTAGCGGCGTGGCCCGTCATATGAGGACGAACGCTGAATCCCTTTAAATGTATATATATATATATATATATATATATATATATATATATATCACTCAAACCTTCTCCCCAAATGTATATTCGTTTCCAATGCATATTCGTTCAATTTATTTGATGAGTGGCACAGTGTCAGCAGTATAACATTGTATATTTTCGGAGGAGAGACTGAACACCCTTAATGCTGACTTGAGCTTCCTCAATGCCCTTCTGAGCACCCCCCCTCCCCCGCCCCCTACCTTCTTTCCTAGCGCATATGAGCAAAAAAGGAAATACTTGGCCAATGAAATGCGGCAAGTGTCTGAACTGCTGGTACGCTAGGTACCTAAACAAAGCACTATCAATATCATCATCATCTTGTGTCATCAATGTCGCTGTCACGTTAGTCTCAAATGGGAAGTTTCTCCTCAGGATTAAAATCATTTTAGACTGGACCAAATAATTTTTTCTCCTCTTATTTCAAATTTGAAAATAAAGGTGGTTGACATCCGAAGACGAAACAGGATTCAAGGGTAAGAGAGGTCAACAAATTTGTTGGCCACGCCGCTCCCCAAACTGATCTTGGAAGGTTGCACCCCTGTGGTGATTTACAGTGCAGAGCTATAATGCGTTGGAGAGATTCATGATTCGGGTGGCACTCTACAAATCAAATTACCTTCCCCCTCACATTTAATCGCGTAGAAACTTTTGATTGCCTCTAGGCATTCATTACGCTTCTGTTCACACAAAAAACGTGTCTGCCGCATGTCTGGTTTCTGAAAAGTGATGTTTTTTCATGTATACGTCACAGCGATGCACGACCGGCGCGGACGGCGAGCGGCGACCGACAAAGTCGTCGACCTTATGCGGTGGGCCCTCAGTGTGTTGCTAGCGTAGCAATACATTATGGATATGCGCTCGCACACAGATGCATAACGCTATGCTCAGAATTGAATGAGAACGCGTTTGTGTGACTTTTACAGTGTGATTGCTTGCACTGTGAAAACTTGCAGGCTATTTCGGGGAGACTATCTGAAGGCCATCCAGGCATCCACCACACGATAATAATGCAATTTAAATCCTGTCATTGCCTTGGCAATGCTGTGATCAAGACCAATAAAATGTAATTGTCGAGTCGTTCATATCTAGCATTCGTGAGCACAATTTCAAGACATGACGGCAGTAAATTGGCTCTCAATCGATCTTGCGCGAGGTGTGATCATGTAATCAAACAATGGCACATTGAGGAGGATATTTACTTAACAGATGAATTTTAGTTTCTAGAGTAGTCTCGTCTACTTAAGAGTATACCAATAAGTGAGTTTATTTCATCGTATCTGATGCTTGCTTTG